GGGAGGATGCGCGCGTGTACTGGGGGGTGGGGGAGGGGTTCCGTGTGTTGGTGCTGGTTTGGTTAAAGTTGGTTTGAGGTGAGGTGGCCCTGAAAGACGCCGCCTGAGGCAAAGCACGACGTGTGCTGTGTGGGTGCGTAACGCAGAGCAGCCCGTCAAGCGTTGCGTTTCGTTTCGTCTGTACTTGACTCTATCTCAGGTTCTTAATTTTGTTATGAACTCTCAATGCATTTAATAGTATTACTTATAAGAGAGATATATGCTTGTGGAGATTTATGGCGTAATGTTGTTTCATTATGTAAGTGACAAAGGATATCTTAAGTCTCTATCATTTGTCAGGTACCAGGTCATTGGCCTTGAAGCCTTATTTATACATACAGGTTCAGAACTGTATTTCTGGCAGTACTATCTAGAACTAACAGTATATACCTGGCACATTTGAATGTCTACTATTGTTGCTGGTATAATGAATTTGGAAGTATTTTTTTAACTCAGTGGTGATGTTCTTTGATCAGTGACTGAGCTACAGTAAAATTAATGGTGTATCTGTCTCTATTTTTATAGGTTTTGCTGAGAACAACAGCAGGAGATATAGATATAGAATTATGGTCAAAAGAAACACCAAAAGCATGTCGAAATTTCATCCAGCTTTGTATGGAAGGTAATGACTGAATGGGGTAGGAGTTGTTGACGTTATTTCATATGCAATCTTTGTGCCTTTTTTTGTGAAATGGAGGTCATAACTATGTTTTAACTTTAATATGTTGATGATTTTGTTTGTATTTAGAAAAAGTTAACAGGCAGACAAAGTTTTTCAAGGTTATTAAGGAACCTGGTGGGGAAAAAAAAAATCAGATGGTTTTCTCAAGTGTAACAGATGACAAAGTATCACTGGAAAGTTTTATGTCAGGGGCTTGGGAAGGCTTATTTTCAGCAAGTCTCTGCACAGTATAACTACTTCTTTAATGTGTGTATGAAGTGGCAGTGATGCAATATTGGACATCTGCCAAAATTCTCATTTCTGTATCACCATCTTCACTGCCTTTTCATTTTTTTCATGAGTGCTTCTAATGTTTCATTTGCTGTAATTCTTTGTTGATGGAAGCTCTGTAATGGTCTTCACTGAAGTAGTGGGTACCAGAGTGAGAAGCTCCCTGTCGGGAAAACCCTAACAAGAATTTGTGAAAGACCTGGTGCCTTACGTGTTTTCCAGCTGCTGTTATCCTGTTTATGCATTTATAGAGTGGTGAAGAGCTCTTTTAGCCCACCTCTGTTAAGGAGAAATAACAGTCTAGGCTTTGTACGTCCAGCACAGGTCCAGCCTGTTCCGTGTTCTTACACCTAATGTGGAGATGTAGAGATTTTTTGCAATGTTAGATCAATTTCTTAGCCATTGGTAAGTCCTAAGAGTTCAGTTATCCCCAGTGTTAAAGAACTGGGGTTTATTTCCTTTCTGAATTTGTGTGACTGCTGTGTAGGTTCCTATGCTTTGTATTATAAATTTGAGTATTTCTGTTGTGAGTGTCCTAGCATATAACTACCCATGAATATATCTAGCTATGCTGCAACATATGCAGGCCCGGCTTTGTTTGCAGCGTGCAGCAGATTTATTTATTAAAAATCAACGAGAAATGTATGTCAAGTAAAGTTAAGTTTTCGTTCCTGTTGTTTCCTTATGATCTCATAACCCTTATCTGATAGATAGGTAAAAGAAGATGATGTAGGGAGCAAAATGTACCACATATTTCAATATCTGAAAATGATCAGGTTGGGTACAGCGTAGGTGGTGAAAAGGGTGACATCTCTGTTCCATGCTGGTGAGCGAAAATGCTAATCATTTGGTGTATGGATGTGGCTAATGAGGTGTGTGACAGGTTCGCTGGGACAAAGCGTAGTAGTTTTAGCTCTCCTTTTAAATTGGTGTATGTTGTTAGTATAATTCCAGTGACAAAACTTGAAAGCTGAGAAGAAAATAGTTCATCAATATCATCTTGTTGGTGATGTGCAATGTCGTTTGCAACAGAAGCATATGACACCACTTTCTTTTCATAAATGTCATCAGCAATACTTTGTAGCTGAGATGCCATAACACTGAGCAAGGCAGTGGAAGAGAAGGGAACCCAGTGGAAATAGCAGAATCCAGTTACAGTACTTGCTTTCTGGAACTTCAGTCTCTGGACATTTCACAGAATCACAGAATCACAGAATAGTAGGGGTTGGAAGGGACCTCTGTGGGTCATCTAGTCCAACCCCCCTG